GAACTTTGTTGCAGAGCTGGACTCGCACTTGCGGTCGTGCACATCAGCTGCAAGTGAGACGAAGGTAGGCGGAGACGGCATTGCCAGGCCCTTCGGGGGCGTGAGTGTGCTGGTCTGCGGTGACTTCTATCAATTGGAGCCGCCATCAGGGACGGCAATCAATGCAATCCCCACGTCGTATTTAAAAACGCGAGGAAGTACGCGCCGGGTTCCACGGAGGACCACGGTCAGTACATCTTCTGGGGTGCTGGAGGCGAAGGAGCAGTGCAAGGAATGACAGAGTTGACGGAATGCAAGCGCGTGGAGGATCAAGACGACTGGTTTCTCGCAGTGCAGGGCGAGTTCCGCCGAGAGGCGTTGTTCGAACGCACGCGCAACTTCTTGCATGGCAAACCGACGGATGTTCCGGGGTCGTGGGTGAACGGTCCTCCGTTGTGCGGGAACGCCCGTTGTCTCGAAGACGCAGAGGCAATTGCGAAGCAAAACGAGCTCGAATGTGACGCTTGCAAAGCTGAGCGGGAGAAGAGAAAGCTCGTTGCCACGTCGCCAGAAGACGCGCGGTTTCGGGGGGGGGAAGTTCCTGGAAGCTGTCGCCATTTTATGCGAATCCGGACATTCGTTGCCACGTCGGGAAGCAGAGAGCTGTGCAGTGGGCGAAGGGGCGAGGAGAACCGCTGCTGCGGGTCGCAGCCAGGGACCGCCCTTGCCACGGGGGGGAACAGAGGCGGCCGCACACGGTGGAGGATCTTGTACGTTGGCTGGGGCACCACGAGAAGGAGTGCGCAAGCTTGCCGGGCTGGCTGCCGTTAGCCAAGGGCATGCCCGTGGCTCTGGGTGATCACTTGGATCTGTCAAAGAAGCAGCTTCTGCGGGGTCGCACAGCGACGATGCATGGATGGGCGTTGCACGAGGATGAGGTCGTGGGTGATGAAGAAGAGGAAGTATTGATGCATCTGCCGAGAGTCATTGTGCTGGACTTCAGCACGAAAGAGTGGCACCTGCCAGGGCGGGAGCCGGGGCTGCATCTATTCTTTCCATCGAAAGGGCGGCAATGGTTCTTGGACGGATATCGGAAGCATCCAGTATTATGTGTGAAACGCACGCAGTTCATGATCACCCCGGCTTTGGCAGTGACTGCGCACTCTGCGCAGGGCCGGACCATGGCCGCAGTGATAGCGGACTTCGACAGAGGGCGCGGCGCAAGTTGGATGTCGAGTTACGTTGCCATCACGCGCGCGCGGAAGCGGGAGAACTTGTTGATTTTCAGGCCTTTCGACAGGGAGCCGCACAACGCGGGGGAAATGCCCGGCGCGCAGAAATTGTTGCGGGTGCTTCGCGGGGAGAATGTGAATTGGGATGAGTGGGAGGCGGCGCTAATGCCACGGGGCCAGTGCGAGCGCTGCCGGCGGAGGTCGTTGGTAGAGGCGTTCACGAAGTTCGAATTTCAGAGAAAGGACAGGCCGGCGTTCTGCAAAGAGCGTGCGGAGGAAATGAAAACGCAGACGAGAAATGGTGCACACCGCGCGGAGGGTGGGCAACGAGAGCAGAGGGTGACGACGCGGCGCGGCGCGGCAGCGGTCGGAACTCGGCGTCAGGGGAGACGAAAAGGATTAGGACAATGTATTGCGCGAAGTGCAGCCATGTCAAAGCCCGGCAGAATTCGCGGAAAGGCAATGCGAAGTGGAACGAGGGCGTCGGAACAGTGCGATGTACGAGCGGTACGTGCCTCTCGCTGTATGACGAAAAGGTGGATATGTCGGAAGCCCAGAAGAAGCACAACGCAGCGGGCCGGAGGCGAAGCCGCTGACGTGCGCGGCGTGCGGAGAAGCGTTCTCGGGCACGAGACATTTGAAGCATAAGCAAGAGAAAGATCATCGAGCGGCGAAAGGATCGAAAGTGGTGTGCAGAGGCTGCAAGGAACTCGGGTTCTCAGCCCGCAGTTGGCAGGCGTAGCAGTGCAGCGGCGCGTGCAAGAGAAGACTGCCGAAGTCGGCGTTCCCCGACCCGCGCAATGTCCCGCGCGACGCAAACAAAAACACGCTGAAGTGCAAGAACTGCAAATGATGCCGAATCGGGCACTGGAGGGAGAAGGAGAACGGGGACAGGAGATTGGGGGACGAGGCGCAGGATACGGGAGATAATCATCGAAAATGACGAGGTGAAGCGGGCCAGGAACAATAGGAGGGGGACGAGGAGGAGGGGGGCGAGGAGAGGGTGGAGGAGGAGGAGGAGGAGAGGGACACTGAGATGAGGCTCTTGGTTGTGGTCTATGGGTGGGCGGTTCTTGTATGTGCATCGGGATTTCGCGGCACGCCTTTCGGGGGCTTGTGGAAAGCAGTTTTGAAGCCACTGGGAGGTCGAGGTGGAAAAGGCGAGTGAGGAGGAGGGGGAGGGGGAGGAGGAGGAAATGATCTGGGTCATGGATTATGGGTTCCTGGTTTCGGGAACGCGAATCCCGCTTGTGCAGTGATCGTTGGGGCCTCTTGTGGGGCTTCTCGCGGGGCTCTTGGAGGCAGTTTCGAAGCCTCTTGACGGCCGTTTTGGGGCGTCGTGGGGGCCTTTTGGTGCCTCTTGGGGGCGTCTTGGGAGCCTTTTGGGGCCTCATGGGGCCTTCTAGGGCCGTCTTGGGGCGGAAGGTTCGGATTATCGGTTCGGGCACGGGCTCCCCCTTTGGGGCCCCTCCTGGAACCGTTTTGGGGCTCTCTTGGGCCGTGTTGGGGGCCTCTTGGGCTGTCTTGGCGCCCTCTTGGACCAACGTGGGCGCCTCTTGGGGGCCTCTTGGGCCGCTTTGGGACGGTCATGGGGTGTTCTTGGACCGTCTGGAACGCCGTGAAGGCCGACAAGTCGTACATGATCAAAATGTACGTTTTCCTATAGGGATTTGACGATTTTTGGCTCTGAAGCCATTCGGAGGACTGCTCTTGGAGGCCTCTTGGGCCGTGTTGGAGGCCTCTTGGCTCGTTTTTGGGCCATCTTGGGCGTCTTGGAGTGTTCGTTTGGCGTGTCGGGGCCCTCGTGGGCCGTGTTGGAGGCGTCTTGGGGCCGTCTTGGCATGTCTTGAGCCCCTTCTGGCCCCAGAAGAGCCCCGTGAGTCGCTCGTCGTCGGCGAGGGGGGGGGGTCGAATCTCCGGTTTGGGATCCCTGGGGGGGGAAATGGGG